GAGGCGGTTCATGTTTTGATGCCCAATAGTCATTGAGATTCACCGCTTCGTGCCTTTTTATTTGTCTCCAAGTTATCTTGTTAGGTTGAGATATTACCTAGGTTGAAAATAGTTTGTTTTGGGGACAAGCAAACGCCTAAGTGTGGGGGAGTGATTTAGACTCAATTATATACTTTTTACCCCCGGTTTGCTTAGTCGTTTGACGCATTTTTACTCCGGAAGGTTTGTTTTTACGCAGAGTTTTGCCTTGTTTTGGTGTTTTTCAGACTTTGGCAGGTGGAACAACCCCGGAGTCGAAAGTTGGATGAAAGGGCGAAAAATCAAGTTAAACGGTGGAAACATCTATAGTTCGCGGATTAGGCTGTGAGTTCATGATCACTAAGACAGTGAACTGGAGGCGCTACCCGTGAACCACCACGCGTCCAGAGGAAATTTCAGTCTCACTGGACTGAGGCCAGTTCATGGTCATAAGACCGTGAACTAAGGCCGTTGCCCGGTTACAGAGATTAGTAAAGCGGTGCATTTTGATTTGAGTTCACGGTCTGGGCCTGCAGTCACGGCCGTGAACTAAGACCGTGAACTGAACCCGATCTGGGTATTTAAAGGAGGTTGAGCTGAAGGAGAAAAGGGAGAGACCTAGTGTGAGAAACTTCTTTTTCTTATGATTTTTAGACTGAGAAAGTGACGAACCAAAGAAGAGGAGAAGCTAGGGTTTCATTTTCAAGCAAGGATTTGGGAATTCCTTCCCAAAGGAGGGTCTCTTCAACTCAAGGAGCAAGGCTAGCATCTTTTTGATGGCTTTCCTTCTTCTCCCTTGTGAATGCTTGTATGGATTGAATGATTTGTATGTAGTTGGGTTTTAATGTGAATGTGGAGGTATTATTCATGAATGATTGTGTTGTGTTGTGTGAAAGTCTATCAATCTAATTGCCATTCTAACCTAGGTAGAGGGAAAAACCCCTTCCTTTCTTTGAAAGAGGCTCAAAAAGCTAGGTTTTCCTAAGCAATTCATTGCCTCCTATCTAGGTTAACGTAGGGCAAACCTCTTATTTCGTATTAGCACCTAGGGTTTGGCTGTGGGTGGCCGTCCGAACTCCGATTCGAGGGTAATTTGTAACCATTCCTGAGTCAATAGGTCGAGAGAGTCACGTAGGTGGCTTGGATCTAATCCCTTTCCTCGACCTGGAGTCCAAGAGGGTGGCGCTGGGTCACTTCACTACAAAAAAATTGCTTATAGTGACATTCGCTATATGTCACAAAAGGACGATAAAATCATACTAAGCTTTCACCAACGTTTATCTCATACGTCACTTATATGTCATTTTATCAACCGTCGTTTCAATTTATGGTGACACTTAATACCAACATTGGTGAACTTTTTTGTGACATTTTAATAAAATTTTCCAACATTTAAAAACGTCGCGTATTATTTTTAGACTGTCTTCTAAACCTTCTTTGGGGATATACATCTATACAAAATACAAGATCTCGGCCAATATAATAGAATTTACTTTTACAGCTTTTCTTTTTAATTGCTTTTCCCCATTTTTATACGATGGTACATTTTTAATGCTCACAACAATAATGAGTTACATAGTTATTTCATTAATATAATAATGAGAATATTTGAAGTTTGCAATGACCTGGAATACAGTGTAAATGAACCATCCATCCAGAATGAAAGGATGAAATTGGCTTCTGAAGCTAAAAAAAGAAAGAGTTACATACAAACATTTAAAAGTAAAAATTAATAATCGACATCTTCAAGACTTTTCGGCGTCCCTTGTCAAGAACTCTGCACCTCATGATTGAAACAAAATTATAGGATTCACACCCCTTGTATGGTCACACTTGAGATTCCAAAGACCAAAAACGTCTTGTCCGGCGAGCAAGTCATGAAACTTTGCCTCTTCTCCTCGCAGGCAAGTTGATTAGGTCTAGACTCTAGATGTGCTCCAACTACAATCACAAATAGAAGAGGATGGAAAAAGGTGGTTCTGAGTTAAGTTCTTTGAATAGTATCGCTATTGATATTGGAAAATAACTGTTTATACCTAGAGGTTCTAAGGAAATTGGGAGCCATCGTGTTGAATCTAGGACTCACAATTTTGTCGACTTTCTTCATAAATTTAAGTTGCGGGAGGACTCTCGTCAAAGAGAGAAGAAGTATATGTATCTTATTTAATTAGAATGACTTGTGTTTTGAGATTTGTAGGGATTTTTGGGAAAAAAAATTATGATAAATGACAAATCAACTGATTGGGTGAGAGATAAAAGGAATTATGAAGTGGTGATGATTACAGAAAATATTGAAAACAATCCTAAGTGTATAAATCCCACTTTTTAGTTTATCACAAAGATCCGAGTAAATATCAGGAAATCAAAATGATGTGTTTGTGCCTCGTTCCTCGTGACCCTGCTCCTTGATCTCTATCCTTTCGTACTCACTAAGGGCGCCCTGATCCTGCGAAAACAAGCGCCTAAAGGGCCAGGGACTGCCCGTTAGCACTCCGACGCCCAAGTCAGAACCATGTCTAGTGAGAGAAGTATAAAGTCGGGTTTTAGTGTGAGAAGCCAACCTGTGTAAATGCTACCAACTGCCCCTATTTATACTCACCGAACTCGAGGTTGATCCCCTCCACGTCATTGTGCCCATTTAATGCTTTGTACTCTCTCTGTCAGACACCCCAACCACCTTGTCAGGCTTCTGACGCGTGCCAGGCGCCCCCAGGTGATGGACCACCTGCCAGCCTGGACTCCTTTGGCCTTTAGTGTTTTGTCTTCATGCGCCCTTCCTCTTATTTGGGCCTTGAGGTATTTCCAGGACCCTCTTTTGGGCCTTGCCCCCCAAGTCCTTTGTCTGGGGGCCCAAACTTCCACTTGCCGGGTAATACCCCCAACATGATGAATAAATAATTGATTTCCGAGTAAATATCAGGAAATCAAAATGATGAATAAATAATTGATTTTCACCAAAAAAAAAAACCAATCCCATTTAAAGTTTTCCGCTAATCCCATTTAAGGTATTCCGTTTATATACTGTGGTGGAAAGTGTGTTTAGAATGACCTTTATGAAAAACGTTAGAATAACAAGTATGTTTTACAATAATGCGACACTAATAAAAATTGCCACTGTAAAAACGTAATTAAAGATATTATTTGTTGTAGTGCTTGTTATATTTTCCTACGGTTGATAACCCCTCACCACATACGACCATTCCACGTCAGATGTCATAACACTGGTGATTAGACTTTCTGTTAAAAATTAACTGTCAAAGAAGGTCAATACACTAAAAAAAAGGTTGAGCGCAAATATCATTTTTCTGATAGTTCGAATTTTCTACTGGTATTAGCTCAGAAAGTATTATAGCTTAACTCGTTGAAGGGTATACCCTTTTCTACAGTATCATTATTGACTGCTTACTTGATTGTAATTTGGCATTGAGCCCTTGGCTTGGTGATTATGCCCTATCTTGGAACACTAAATAAATTTAGAGCCGCAACTGTTGCCAGTAGGAGTCAATTAATTAAGTGAAATACAAAAAGATAATGAATTACACATCGTAGAAGTGGAAAAACATAAAACATGATATTTTATGACTGAAATTTTCTCCCCATAATTTTCTTGACACTAAAATATGAACAGCCTCGTATCCTTTCCCTCATCCCTCCCACATAATTAACACCAGTGTTAAATGTTCGATTATATATCGTCCAAACCTGCTAATCTCGCAGCCTCTGTTTAATTAGTAACGCACCAATGTTCGGTGCAAAATATCAGGAAAATTAAAGGAAACGATAGAAAAAGATGCGTAGAAGACTATGAATGAAGATATTAATAATATAAATAAACTATTAAAAATTATCAGTCCATCTTCGTTCGAATGGTCGAGATCTAAATAGCAGTCCTTCGTTTTTGTTTGTTTAATTTGTCATTTGGAAATGATATGAAAAAGGAGTGTGATGGCTGCTAGCAACTGTAGCGCCATTTCTTTGGTTTCTCATCCCCACCTCAAATGATTTTGGTGTCTGGCTCTCGTCTTATTGTAATAGTAAGACTTAGCTTGAAATAATGAACTCTAAATGTATATACGCATATTTCGAGCATTTGTATGTTACAAACAAAGCTGGCGCGCGGGCGGCGAGTGCAAATTAACCTTAATCAACCAATAATGAATAGAGGCAATTAAAGAAAGATCTGCACTACTGTCCAATGTGTGAATGTGATGTCCGTCCGAAAGTACGTCAAAAGTTTCCCATTCCAGCATCGGTGGCGGCGTCGAAATGGCCAAATGGGGTCTTTTGGTACCTGACAATGGAAATGTTGCCATTTGGTCAGTAGTAACTAGTAAGTAACAAATATGGGGTCTTTCGCATATGAACTTCAATTTGTAGTTATCTATAACAAAAACGCGCCTGGACTTCTTTCACTATGTCACTAGCTTTAGTTTTCGGATTAATTTCATGGTTGGTCACTGAGATTACAAAAAACGTTCAAATTTGGTCACTCGAAATACTTAAATCCATTTGTGATACTTCAGTTTACTGAAACCGTTCACGTTTGGTCACTCTCCGTCCAACTCGATTAACTTTGGCTGATGTAGCAGTCAACTCTCAAAGTAGACCGTTAACTTAGTGACGTGGAAATTAAGAAATAATAAATAAAATAAAATTTAATCTATTTTAAAGTCCAACTCATTTTTCCCATAAAATAAATAAATAAATAAAATAAAAAATATTATGATTATCAAATTAGGTCTGGGAAATCAACCACAGTGAGTTCGACTCCACCGTCGCCTACGACGACAAGATCGAACTCCAAGCGAGCCTAATCATCGACGTGACCGGATTCGGCACCCCGTTCATCCAATACGACGATGTTTACAACACAAAACCCAGGAACGAAGGGTTCCAGATCGCACACGGGATCTTGGCCGAGGTGGAGGGCGAACATCCGTTCGATTTGGACATGATGATTGATGGATTAGAGGGATTCCCACATGGGGAACGAGCCGTACCTCCGATCGGGGAATTCAAAATTCCCGACGTTTCTCTATGCGATGCCGTTTGTGCCCGATTTGGTGTTTTTGGAAGAGATTTCGCTGGTCAGTCGGCCCACATTGCCGTACAAAGACGTGAAGCTAAGGATGGCGGTGAGGCTAAGGCATATGGGGATTAAGGTGAGGCGAGTGATCGAGGAGGAGAAGTGCTTGATTCGGATGGGCGGGCCGTTGCCGCAAAGCGTGATGGCGTTTGGTAGGAATTCAGGGGCAGTTCATCCTCCTACAGGGAATTTAGGGCCAGGGCTCGACAATAGGAGAAACAAGACACGGTGGTGATGCCCGCGCGACGGAGGCTGGCACGACGGCGGCTCCTTCGGATCACTGTCGGAGCATGATTGTGTGGCTTCTCTGGCCTCGGACTTATCAATATCGTAAAAACGTGGTGGTGGTGGTGGTGGTGGTGGTGATGGTGTAGTGAACGGGTGATTGGAGGTTGCGATGGTGGATTTGATGGTGCTGGAGTTGGCGGTTGCGTGAAGATCGGGAAAAGATGGTGGTGGTGAAAAGGGGGGAGGATCGTAGGGCTCTGCTGACGTCGTTGGGGTAATGATCGGTGGCGAATAGCTCGGCAGAGGAACATCATAGATGAGAATTGGTAGTAGAGCGACGGAGGATGGAGGTGGAGGAGGAGATGTAATCACATTGGGTGGTGGCGCAGGAAGGTGATGAGGGTTCTTAGGGAACAGAGGTGGAGGGGAAGGCTGTGGGACTGGAGGAGCGGAGGCGGGAGACAACGGTGGGAACAGATGCAGGTGAGGCGGAGGAGAGTGCGGAGATCACGGACCGAGCGGCCAAGGCAGCGGAGGATACGATGGCTGTGAATTCGGATGAGGAGCTGGCGACGAAGGATGTCGGTGGTGGAAAAAAGGCTCATTAAATATATTAAATTTTATAATATTTATTTATTTTATTTTATTTATTTATTTATTTTAAGATAAAAATGAGTTGGATTTTAAAATATATTAAATTTTATTTTATTTATTATTTCTTATTTGCCACGTCACTAAGTTAATGGTCAACTTCGAGAGTTGACTGCCACATCAGTCAAAGTTAAAAGAGTTGGGCGGAGAGTGACCAAACGTGAACGGTTTCAGTAAATTGAAGTACCACCAATGGATTTAAATATTTAGAGTGACCAAACTTAAACATTTTTTTTTAAATAACTCACCGCCCACATAACTTATCTTAGTGAAATATTTACAAATAAATTATTTGTTAGTTATCTCCATCCAAACCCCACAAAGCATATAAAGAAAGAACAATACTTAAGAGGCATATTTAATGAAGTTCAAACTATGTTAATAAAAATTGCAAGGCTAAATTGTTGTTAAAGGAGTTCTTTAACCCGGTCTGATTTGTCACTAATCCTAACTCCAAATCCAGAGAAACGTCGTTGTAACTATATCATTGTCTGAAGGGTCCCACCCCCCAGCTATAAATAAGAGTTTTGCTGCCCTGGTAATTACCATCAGAAGAAGAACTAGACAGAGCTAGAGCAAGAAAAATTGAGGAACAGAGATAAAAAAGAGCGAAAGAAAAAAATAAATAAAAAAGAAATGTCCTTCCAAAGAGAAACGTCAATCTCTTTTAGAACATTCGGCTCCTCCCTCTCATCCCTCTACTCCAAACTAAGCTCCCGGAGGAAGCCGGCCGCCGTCGAAGATGAGCCATCGGAGCACGACCAAGCGGAATCATCGCTAGCCAGAGCCGCCCGGATCAAACCCATAGTCAGGTCACTCTACAACGGCCTAGCCAGCCACTGCGGTCCCACCGCCGGTGACAACGATCCGGAGGATTGCCAGGAGGTCATCGCCAGCGACCTGGAGTGGTGGTTCCACGGCCCGCCGGGGTGCGACTACATGATGCGGATTCTGACGGGGCAGCTGGCGCCGGACCAGTCTGTCGTCCGGTTCGAGCCACGTAGCATCGAGGCGGTCGGGGACTGCGTGATCGCCGAAGGCTGGGAAGGCGAGGTGTACTGGGTGCACGTGTGGACGGTGCGGGAGGATCATGGTCTGGTCGTCATCACTCAGTTCAGGGAGTATTTCAACACGTGGCTCACCGTCAAATACGTCACTGGCGGCGGGTTGCCGTTGCCGGCCGGTAGTGACCATCGGCCCACCCCGTCGCCGGAGAGGATTACTTTATGGAGGAGCCAGCCGGCGGATCTTTACAAACGCTCTTTGCCTGGCCTTGTCCTCGCCATCTAATGATCATTTTGACGCTTCTCCATGTGTTCGCCTCAATTTCTTCGTTTGAATTTTAACTAAATGTATGTATTTTTTTTTTAATTAATAATACTAGATGTGTTATGAGTAGGGCTGGGAAAATAGACCAGACCGTTAGAAAAACCGTGGTCCAAATCGTACCGCACAGTTTGGTCTGGACCGTAGACCGTTAAGTATGGTCTGGTTCTTGGTCTGGTCTAGACCGCGGTTTACCGGACCAAACCGTGGACCCAACTGACTTGTAAATACGTGTTAACAACCCATTCGACCACTCTCCCAACTCCCACAACGACACTCAAGTCTCAACCTTAGTTTGTGAATCTCGTCCCTCCTTAATTCACAACCACATTTAACTAGAGAGTAGAGATAATCGTGTCTCCATATGACATTATGTTAATGTTTATGACGTTATGGTGCAAGTTGGGATGCTTTTACTTTGTATCTTTGGTATGTACTAAGATTTAGAGTATCAAAATTATTCATGCATGTTAGGATTAATGATTTAAGGCAAATAACAACTATTTTTCCTAATTATTGGTTCTATTTTTTGTGTGGTTGACTAAACAAATTATTCATTTTTCGTTGAGTGTGGTCTATGTGGACCAGACCAGACCGAACCAGACCGCACAGGCGCGGTCTGAACCGAACCGTATAGTCTGTGGTCTGGTCTGTGGTCTATACTTTAGCCTCTCAGTCTGGATCATAGACCGTATAGATGGTCTGGTCTGGACCAGACCGCACCGTTTCCCAGCTCTAGTTATGAGCCGCGCTCCGCGGCGGCGTGGGTTCTTGTATGTTGCTTGTGAAAGCCCGTCATTTGTTAAAGTCTTTTAATTGGTCATCCTTATTTTGCCGATAAGCTAAATAAAGGATGTTAGTAAAAAAGCCAACTTTTGAGGATTTTGCATCTATTGGTCTCTCTATTAGGCAAACAAAAATTAATAACCATATGTTAACAAAGAAAGGTAATGAAATAAAAAATTGATAAATGTGTGTTATCTAGTTCATCAGTAATCAGTAAACTAAAATGAGGAGCACAAAATTGATCAACCAAGAAAGAAAAGAAACATAGGGAAGAAGCAGCGGAAAAATCGGGAAGAAGCCCTACTAACAGAGCATCATGGAACCCGGCTGTCATTCTTAGAAAAGCAGCAAGATCTATGATTGATTGGGCAATCTCGCATGAGAAGATTGGGAGAGAACAAGGTTTACAGTGGCTTAATGCCAATTTGTCTTTTTTGTGATGGCTTCTTTTAATATGGAGATTTCAAGTGGCTGTTGTTGAATGATCGGATGTGGATTGCTTGCTCAATTTGGGACGGGTGCTACTGTTGCGGATAGTTGTGATGTTTGATTGATCTGTTACTACTGGAGTTGTTTGATGCTGGAAGTGTTGTTCTTGGTCACTTTGTACGTGTTTGATGGCTTCACTGGTGACTTGGCGGTGGCAGTTTTTGAGCTGCAGCTCTGGTTGACTGGGCGGCAAGATCAGTTGCTTGCGTTTCAGTTCTTTCTTTTTGAGGTGCGGTTATTGGCTTGTGACAGCGGCTTTGCGGCAACGGCTTTTTCCTTGAGGTTGAGGTCCTTGAGCCGCAACTTCGACTGGATGGGTAACAATATTGGTGGGTTGCGTTGCTGGATTCTGTGCAATGACGGTGGATCCTCTATGAGCTTGCCGAGTTGGTTTTCCGTTTTTGCTTGTTGCTGAAGTTATGGATTGATGGGCTCTCGCCTCTTTGCTTTGTTCTTGTCTTCCTTTTGGGTTTTCTGTTGCTGTGTTCAGTGCTTCTGAACCAATTTCTCTTCTTTCCTTTGGTTTGTAATAGCTTTGGACTTCTTTGTTCTTTGCCATTTTAATATTATTTTCATCACCATTATCAAAACAGAGCATCATGGTCACACAAATCTCATCTCAAATTTCACAAAAGAAAAAACTCGTCGGCAAGCAGAATTTTGAGCCGTTGCTTCATATTTGATCACTGCCGCAAACACCATAGTTGACCCCCCATAATTTTTCTACCTAACGTAGGGGTTCATCTCCATTGCATCTCTAGCCAACGTTGTCTGCGCTGATGAGATTGAAGAAAAAGGGAAAATGGCGATGAATAAGAAGAAGAATCAAGAAGAGAGCCAATGAAAATCGAGAAAATGCATGAGAAGAGTTAATCTAAATGAACGGAACACCTGAAATGTGGCCAATCGGTGATGAGATAGGTTGTCGTTGTGGATTAGCCAAACTAATAAGAAACAAAAATAAAAAAGAGTTGGCAACACATCTATAAAAAAAAGTGGATGTGAGCAAAACCGAAATAATCTCATGTTTATAAGAACCGAACCGGATCAACAGTTGCGTCAGTAGAACCACTGAACCAGTTATAATAGTGGTTCGGTTAATTTGATTGGATTGTTAATGATGGACCAAAAGGTTTTTAAAAATTTGACATGAAACTAGATGAACCACCTGATTTAGCTAGCCCATTGGTTCACTATTTTAACCACAAAAAAATTTAAAACAATATCAAACTAAGACCATCTAATCTCAATCATTAATTTTATTTATGCTTCCCTTTTATTCATTTTCCAACATCGTTGTCGGATTTATTTGGTTCACTACAGATTGTCACCCTATTACTGACTTAAATTTAAAATAGAAATTAAGAGTTTCTTTTGTGAGATAGTTTGAATGCTTTGTGAGAACTTATAGGTTATAGATGATATGGATTTGAAATTGTCTATGATTAATAAATTCACTCATAAATTAGTGTATTATATATGTTTTTATGTTATAGCGCATGAGCGGTTCAATCAACAAATAACTAACGGTTCTATAACGGTTGGCTGTTAAACATCAACCACTAACTTTTTCTGTTCAACATCCGCTTCAAATTATGAAAACATTAAATAATCTATGGCTCGTGTTAGAATACGTCTATTAGCCAAAATTAAAAATATATATAAAATAAAAAGAATTAGCAATACATAAAAAGAAGTGGATTGCACAAAACATCAACAAAAAGTGGCTGTGAGCAAACGAAAGTGACCAACCACACATGTTAGCAAAACTCTTATACAACACTAACTCTTTTGTATGTTTATTTATATTCATTGATGTTCAGCATTTCTTTTCCTGTTCTCTCTGAGGGTCGTGGGTTGTTTCTATGAGTTATTTTGTCACTAATAACTCATAATGAATCATAGGACTAAAATAATTTGTTTGGATGCCCATTTAGCGAATGAGGAATTGTGAGCCATATGTTTTTGGACTTTGCTACGGTGACATGCACTTTTCGGTCGACCTCATATAGGATCAGGTCGACCTAATCAGTTGTTTCAGTGTAAAAACAGTTTCATGGTGCCTACTTTGGAGATTCATATCTTACAATTGGCTAGATGGAAATTGGAGATTAAAGGCTTGTTTTGAAGCTGAAGTGTCCCTCTACACATTAAAGTACTTGGGAGCTCAATAGAAAGTCCAGAAGATCATTTTTGAACCTGACCAAAAGGCTATGCCAAAACTGGGAAACTGCCTGAAAATGGCTAAGTCTGGCAACGTGTTTGTCAAGCCTACTTTGGAGCTCAATTTGAGAAGCATGGATGCGAGTCAAGTCCAGGGGCCTCTACCACGTTAAATTACGTATTTTTTTTATACAAAGGCAAGGCATTGAATGAATGATTGAATATCTTTAAGGCTTCAAACAAAAGACTCGAAGTTGCTATGAAGGCTGTTTTTCTAGCAGCTTGCTTGTGCTCGAAGGCTGCCAGAAAAACAGCCTTCGTAGCAACTTCGACCCTTTTGTTTAAAGCCTTAAAGATATCCAATCTTTCATCCAATTCCTTGAATTTGTATAAAAACATACCTAATTTAACGTGGTAGAGGCTCCTGGACTCGAATCGCATTCATGCTTCTCGAATTGAGCTCAAAAATAGGCTTCACAAACACGTTTCCAGACTTAGCCATTTCTAGGCAGTTTCTCAGTTTTGGCATAGCCTTTTGATGAGGTTCAAAAATGGTCTTCTGGACTTCGTATCGAGCTCTCAATCACTTCAATATGTAGAGGGACACTCCAGCTTCAAAACAGGTCATTAGTCTTCAATTTCCATCTAGCCAATTGTATGATATGAATATCCAAAGTAGGCACCATGAACTGTTTTTACACTGAAACAACATATTAGGTCGACCGGATCCTATATGAGGTCGACCGAATCCTAAATGTGGTCGACCGGATCCTATATGAGGTCGACCGAATTCTAACTGAGGTCGACCTAATCCTAACTGAGGTCGACCGGAAAGTGCATGTCACCGTAGGCACACCCTATGTTTTTTACAAATAACGCGAAAATCCATCATTTGAAATAACACGTATGGGGTATCTATTGAGCTCTCTTGACATAGAACTCAAGGCGATCCAAAAAAAACCAGGGACATTCCAGCAACTATAGACCAACATACAATACTTACAATAATCTCATCCAATGAGGAGTACAAATCAATTCCTACCTAAGTATCATATTAACTAATGAATAGAGTATCAAATCATCTCGAAACTGTCTAAAAATCGCTTGCCCAGTTCTACTGTGCCCTCCAGAAACTTGATTACAGCGCTCTTTCCACACAAGATTTATAAACCAAGTCCATATCACAGCAAATGTACGACCTCTTGCTCTTCCGCTTTTGACTGTTTTGCAAGCTTTCTATAAGAAACCGCCCCAGTCTGATGGCCTAACACCAAATCCTCAGCCAAGCATCTCATAAAACAGATCTCTAATATATGTAGAACAAATGACTTCTACTCTCAACTACAACATTACACAACACACATGAATCATCAACAATCCGACCACTTTCTTTCGGCTTATCAAGAGTGGGATTTGGTTAGAATTACCAGCCAAGCAATAATCCTAAATCTTGGTTCTCAAATTTAATCCAAAGCAGCTGCCACCATTCCATAACAGATTGTTTCACCCTTGTCGAGTTTCATACC